AGCCTGGTGGGATTTGAACAGCCAAACTGCTGAACTGCAGTCAGCTGAAGTAGCCTGCAGTGCTGCATTTAACCACTGCGCCACCTCGGCTCTGATCACAACTAACCATCTTTGGGAAGTTACTTACAGTTAACCTGTATTGTTTTTTTTCCCCTCTAGCTCAGGGTTGTTAAACTCGTAGCCCGCAGGCCGGATATATCATGCGCTGGCCACGCCCATGCTTGTTTAACAAATCCTGATATATCATATGACATGTGACGATGCGAGTTTGACACCCCTGCTCTAGCTCCAACCTTGGCAACCTCTGGGAGTTGAAGTCCAGAAGTCTTAAAAGTTGCCAAGGTTGGACATTTCCTCCTCTAGCTGGAATGGATGCTATTTGCTTAGGTGTATAATTTTGACTTCACAAAGGTTGCCAACTTCAGAAAGTTGCCTCCTCTAATGGTGGGATAAACCTCTCCTGTGAAATTGGCAACTTCACAAAGTTGCCAACTTCACAAAGTTGCTTCCTTTAATAGTAGGGTAATCCTGTTCTATGAAATTGGCATTTAGCAATAGCAATAGCAAGTAGACTTAATCTACTGCTTCATAGTGCTTTACAGCCCTCTCTAAGCGCTTTACAAAGTCAGCATATCACCCCACAACAATCTGGGTCCTCATTTTACCAACTTCGGAAGGATGCGAATCTTTCTTGAGTCAACCTTGAGCCTGGTGAGATTCAATCTGCCAAACTGCTGCCAGACGATCAGCAGAAGTAGCCTGCAGTAGTGTACTCTAACCACTGCACCTCCACCACTTCTCAGAACATTTGCTCACAACATTAAAAAACAAATTGGCTGTTGGCTACAGGAGCCAATGAATTGATCAGATTAGAACAACAAAACTTAGTTTCATCTGAAGGCAGTGCCTGTGAGATACTGGTCTAAAGGATTGGCAGCTGAGCCTTTCCCCCACCCCTCAATTCTAAGTTTTAAGCCCTCACATCTTTAAAAAGTTGGTAAGCTTGCTAAGAGTTNTTTTTTTTTTTTTGAATGCTAGGGAATGTCATCTTCCTGAGCTTTTTGGCAGCTGGAATTGAGGTTCCACTTAAGGGATAAGCTACGGATAAGACTTCTTATCTGATGGTGATGTCTGTATCACTTTCCTCTTGCTGTTTTTCCAGTCCCCTTCCCTCCACCCTTTCGCTCTCATGATTCTATGACCAATTTCTTTGCTTTCATTTCTACATTTTTTGTCCTCCTGTTAGGAATTTAGAGCAGTGTTCCTCAAGCTTGGCAACTTGAAGATGTGTGGGTTTTTACTCTGGCTGTGGAATTCTGGGAGTTGAAGTCCACATGCCTTAAAGTGGCCAAGAGTAAGAAACATTGATTGATAGGATGTTTCTTCAGACGGGGGAAAGCTTTTGGACAGTGGTGGGATGCAACCGGTTTAATAACCGGCTGGCTCGGTGCCTGTTTTGCAGATGCTCCTAATGCGCATTTTGCCACCCATTTTAAGCTTAAAAACTTAACCTATGTCGGAGTCGGTGAGTAAAACAGGTGACATGCAGATCAGCTGAGCTAAAAAACAGGGAAATACAGGACAGGAAAGAGCAGGGGTGGGTGGCGGGAACAACTGCTTACCGGAACTACCGGTTCACCTGAATCGGTGCGAACCGGCTGAATCCCACCCCTGCTTTTGGAACATGGAATGGATACAGAGGCATCTCTATACCTTTTTTTTAATGATACCATGACATTGGGGAATATGGTCTACAATCCCTTGGCCAATCTCACCTCTCTAAAATATTTGGGAGGTGCTCCTTCAGATACGGTTATGGGACTGTGATTTTTTGTGTGGGTGTAATAGAAGGGGCAAAGTAATCAAATTATATGTATTTAATGACTTCTAAATTAAAACACATTTAGTTTCTGCCCTAGCCTTGTCGACTTCTTTTACCTGTGCTGGGGAACGTCCAGATTTCCTGAGCCACTAAAAAGGTGAGTTAAGATTCTTGGCTTGAAAAAAGTTTGGGAAGTCCTATTGATTTCCTTTGATCCAAGATTCAGGCCCACCTGTGGTTGCTGGGTTTTATTCCCTGCTTTTATTCTGACGGATTTGGGTTGCATTCTTTAACGATGACCCAACAGTGAGAGCCTGCAGAAGTAATTTGGAATTTTCCAATCCATCTCTCTTTTGGGCATAAACTTCCACTGTTTCTGGCCTATCATCTTCTTTGACTGAATTCAGCCAGCTCTTGCAAGGAGACATTTCTGGCAGTAGCTTGGGCTTTGTGACTATTGATTACTCTGGTGAAATAATTTAAATGTTGTGCCAAATTCTGATTTCCCCTTCCAAATATACCAAATATCTCTTAATGTTTCCTCCCAGGATTCATAATAGTGTGTTCTGATTTAGTTTTTCCTCTGCAAATAGCAATAGTAGCAATAGTTAGGCTTATATACTGCTTCATAGGGCTTTTAGCCCTCTCTAAGCGGTTTACAGAGTCAGCATATTGCCCCCAACAACAATCTGGGTCCTCATTTTACCCNAAGACTTTGCTGGGTGTGAATGAGCAGAATTCACAGCAAATTAATAAAAGGGTTTTTTGTCGGGACGATGAGTTTCCTTCAGGCTCTCAGGAAGCCTCGGTCAGAACACATCTAGGGTCATCGTAAGGATATATGTCTAACAAAATCTTTGCATTGACCAGCTTCGATGAAGATTTGGCTTCTCAAATGACCCACTTTTTTTATTATTATTATTATTTGGCCTTCCTCCTGTTTCATTTCCTGAATGTGAGCGGAACCAAACATTCAGCCTCCAGCTGTTGGGTGAAGGAGGAGTTCTTTCTTATTTCCACCCACAAAAGGAAGTTTCCTGCAATTACGCAGCAGGTGGATGTGTCAGAAGTTGATGAGAACATCACTCATGTGAAAGAATCTTTGCCGCGGGGAGGTTTCATAACATCCAAAATAATTAAAAGGTGACAAGAGGCAGATGTTCTTACCAAGATGGCCCCAGGGGGCCAACATAAATTGCATCGCTAAGGTGGAAAGGACGCCACATTGTATGTTTATTCAAGCAAATCCAACCCTAACATTTGGATATTTCATGATGCCCCCTAGCTGGAGATGTTGGGTGTCAGGGTTCCAAATAGCATCCGAAAGTAAATCAGAGTATGAAGGCAAAGGATTCCTCAACGTTCCAATTTATGAAGAGAGCCATGTTGGCACATCTGGGAAAATCCGAATCCGAAAGCGTCCCGGTTTTCCCCACCCAGTTCAAAGTTCAAGATCCTGCCCCCACACTCACAAGTCCATCAAATGGTCCAATCTTCCACTGCCATGCTGGCAGTTCCACCCATCCACTTCTGGCCAGGTGCAAAGACAAAGGATGACCCTTGGATTTCTAGAAAGAATCTTGTTATGGCTACATATTATCTAACTCCCTGCAATCCCCCCTCCTATTTTCCCACCATAGAAAATGCATAGTAGAATAATAGAAAGTGTGGCAGGCCAAAGATCCTAAAGAAAATATGGCTGCAGGCCTGACATTGGACTCTGGTCATGCCATCCTGGAGGACACAGGATACGGGATGGTGGCTGGAAACAAGAAAGCTATCCTGGATTTTTTTTTGAGATGAGCTGAGACAAGTCATGGGAGCTCACTCGGGATTCAAAACTCAGGATTCAAACCGGCGAATTGTCCTTCTTTCTGATCGGCAAGCTCAGTGTCTTAGCCCCTGAGCCACCATGTCCCTTTTATACCATGTGTTATGATGACAACATTATTGGAAGCTCTAACTGCTGTCCTCCGCTCGGCCCTCTACAGGATCAAGGAAAGCATTGCTTTTGTTAGGATGGGGTCAGGAGCAAATAAACAAGTTCGTTTGTTGGGTTCAAAGCACGGAAGACTTTATATTGTTGTGGCTTTTACACAATAATCTAGTCTACTGACCATCAGTGCTGAATTAGTGCCCAATAACGCTTAATGGTTTGAGTTCCTTATGGCAACACAGTGATTCCAAACTGATAGCATGTTTTAGTCCTGCCTTCAGCTTTGCCAACTCTTCTCCTCCAGATAAGTCGAACTGTTATGACCCAGTCTTCATGAAGTAATGATAAGCCAGTTACTCATGAGTAAAACAACCCCCTTTTTAAAACAGGGAAGTAATAGGCTTTGATTCATGGGGATAAACAAAATCTCAAACGTAATTAGTCCCAACAAACCTAGGTTTAGCCAAGGAACCCGAATTGCTTGCTTTGTATTAGAAACGAAGGGATTGTCGGTGACAACCGGCCCCTCCCAAACCCCTCCTATTTATTTCCCAGCCAGGGAGGCACTGGCTAGCGTCTAGGTCTAACTTTCCCTGAGAGCCGGCTCATTGCCTTCCATTGCTCTCCTCTCCCCTCTATGCATATGCACATCTGGGACGGGCCCCATCTGTTCCTCCCCCCTCTCACTCAGCCCAGGCCCTGAAGACAGCTCCCTTGCCACCTGGGGGAGGATTTTAATAAATTAATCAATTTAGTTTGTCAAACACGTACGAGATCACAGGTAC